ACAAGTTCACAAGAGCCAAAATATGACCTTGAATATATCCCACCTGAATTTAGAGATCCTCTGAAAACAAAATTGGTACATTAGACACTAAAGAGTGAAGACCAGAGAGTTGTGGGATGACATCAAGAACATCATACAGGAAAAGAGCAAAGGTCATTGAGAAGACAAGAGAGAAAGAAAAGATTAAAATGGATGTCAGAAGAGACTCCGATACTTGCTCTCCAGCATAGATATGCTAAAACAAATGGAAGAAGTGAGGATGTACAAGAGCTGAATAGATTTCAAAGGTCAGCTCGAGAAGACAAAGTCAATTATTACAACAAAAATGTGCAAAGACCTGGGGTTAGAAAACCAAAGGGAAAGAACATGCTCAGCGTTTCTCAAGCTGAGGGAACTGAAGAAAAAATTCAAGCCTCGCCTTGTGGTATGGAAGGATTCTATGGGCAAAATACTGAACAATGACAAATGCATCAGAAGAAGATGGAAGAGTCACTGTACCAAAAAGCAATGATCGGCGTTCAACCATCTCAAGAGGTAGCATATTATCAAGAGTCAATGATCCTGAAGAAGAAGTCCAAAGCACATTGAAGTCATTGGCAAAGAACAAGGCACCAGGAATTGATGGAATAAAAATTGAAACCATTAAACAAAGTGATGCGGCACAGGAGGCACTCACTCATCTATTCCAAGAAATTCGGAAGACAACTATCTGGTCAACTTACTAGAAGAAATCTGTCTTTGTGCCCATTCCAAAGAGAGGTGACCTAATGTAATGCAGAAATCATCAGACAATATCATTGGTATCCCATGCGAGTTAAGTTTTACTAAAGGTAATACAGAAATGGCTGCAACCATACATTGACAGAGAACTTCCAAAGGGTCAAGCCTATTTCACAGGAGGATGTGGAATGAGGGATACCATTGCTGAAATCAGATAGATCTTGGCTGAAAACAGAGAATACTAGAAAGATGTTTACCTGTATTTTATTGACTACACAAAGGCTTTCGAGTGTGTGGGTCATGACAAGCTATGGACAGCATTACGAAGTATGAGTATTCTAGAACCCTTAATTGTGCTTAAAAAGAACCTGTACATACGCCAAGAGGCAGTTGTTCCAACAGAACAAGGGAACACCAAATGGTTTTTAATTAGGAAAGGTGTGTGCCAGGGTTGTGTTCTTTCACTATACTTATTCAATCTATATGCTGAACAAATAATCAGAAAAGTTGGATTATGAAGAAAAATGTGGCATCAGGATTAGAGGAAGGCTGATTAACAACCTGCAATATGCAGATGGTGCAACCTTGCTTGCTGAAAGCCAAGAAGACTTAAAATACCTATTTATTACAATCAAAGACCACAGCCTTCAGTGTGGGTTGCACCTTCATGTAAAGAAAACAAAAATCCTCACCAATGGACCAATGCACAACATCCATATAAATAGAGAAAAGATTGAAGTTGTCAAAGACTACATTTTGCTTGAGTCAACCAATAACACTCATAGAAGCAAGCAGTCAAGAAATCAAACAACTTACTGTTGTGGGCAAATCTACTGCACAAGACCTTTTTAAAGTTTTGAAGAACAAAGATGTCAGTTTGAAGATTAAGGTGTGCCTGACCTAAGCCATGGTATTTTCAGTAACCTCATAGGCATGTGAAAGTTGGATAGTGAATAAAAGACCATAGAAGAATTGATGATTTTGAGTTATGGTATTGGAAGAGAATATTGCAAATACCATGGACTGCCAAAAGAATAAATACATCTTTGTTGTAAGAAATATAGCCAGAGTGCTATTTGGAAGCCGTAAGGTTGTACTTTGCCTGTCATATTCAGACATGTTGTCAGGAGGGACCAATCACTGGAGAAGGATATCATGTTTGGTAAAGTAGAGGGTCGAAGAAAAAGAGGAAGACCCCCAATGAAGTGGATTGGCACAGTGGCAGTATCAATGGGCTTAATCATAGCAACAGTTGTAAAGTTGGCCCAGGATCAGTCAATGTTTCGTTCTGTTATGCATAGGCTCACTATGAGTCGATACCAACTCTCGATGGCACCTAACAACAACATACTGTTTTTT